CTCTCTCTCTCTCTCTCTCTCTCTCTCTCTCTCTCTCTCTCACACACACACACACACACACACACACACACACACACACACACACACACAATGTAAAAAAAAACAAACAAAACTAAAAATGTAAAAGATAGAAGATTGACTCTGGAATGGACCTAGAGAGAGGTCCAGGGCAGCAGTGCACTGCCCCCCGCCCCATCCCCCCTGCCCCCCGCCCCGGAACCTGTAGAAGCACTTCAGCTCTATCCTGAGGCCTGTGGGGAGCCAGTGAACAGACACAGCATCAAAGTCATTCTTGAAGCTGTTTCAGAAGCTGGGCTTGGTGGCACATGCCTGTAATCCCAGCATTTGGGAGACTGAGGCAGGAGGATTGCCATGAGTTCCAGGCCAGTCTGGGCTACAGAGTAAAACCTTGTCTCAAAAATAGAAAACCAAGCCAGGCGTACACCTTTAGGGAAGGAGAGGCAGGTGGGTCTGTGTGAGTTCAAGGCCAGCCTGGTCTACATAGTGAGTTCCTGGGCTTTATGTGCTGGGCTATAGTCTGTCCTGCTGTCCTCTAGCTCAGAAGACAGCAGGTGGCTGCCGCCAACAGTTTTGGGGTGCTGGGTCCCACAGGTGCTGACTGGATACCTGAACTACATGGTCCAGCTGGGGAAGCTGCTGGGTGGTGGGGATGAGGACTCCATCAGGCCCCAGATGCAGCAGATCCTGGACTTTGAGACAGCGCTAGCCAATATCACCATCCCCCAGGAGAAGCGCCGTGATGAGGAGCTCATCTACCACAAAGTGACGGCTGCCGAGCTGCAGGTAAGTTGGAGGGTACCCATGCATCAGGGCCGGGGCTTCAGTGGAGGCCCTGGGGACCTGTGCTTCAGACCCACCTTACCTGTCCTTGAAGCGACCTGATCTGCTCAGGGAAGGAACCTGACCCAGTACAGACCACGAGGACAGGAAGGGATGCCAAAGCGAGGCTGCTTTCTGAGATGTTTCCCTGGAGACCGTGGTAGTGTTTCCATCCTTTCATGTACTGTGTGTCCCGTGCTTGGTGATGGAGTACCTCAGAGTTGTGGGATATAGTGTTTCCCTTTTCTTTTTTTAATGAAAAACTCCTACAAAGCTTATTTCACTTCATTGTTTTGAGATAGGGTATTATGTATCACAGGCTGGCTTTGAACTCACTAGGTAGCCAAGGATAACCTTGAACTTCAGATCCTCCTGCCTCTGCCTCTAAGGGCTAGAATTAAAGGTGTGTACCACTATGTCACTAGTTTGTTTTGTTTTTTTGAGACAGAGTTTCTCTGTGTAGCCCTGGCTGTCCCGGAACTTGTTCTGTAGACCAGGGTGGCCTCAAACTCAGAGATCTATCTATCTACCTGCTGCCTCCAGCCCTTTCTGAGCTGGGCAGCCAAGAGACATGGTTAGGGCCCAGAGGCTCCTGTGGAAGAGTTGGATGGACCCAGGCTTGGCTGTGACACATCCTTGAGTTTTAACTGCCAGTTGGACCTCTCCTTTCTCTGGTGTGACCAGAACTGGAGGCCTGCTGTGGCAGCTTTTGTCGGTCCAGTCTTAGGCTGCCCCCTGGTGGCTGCTTGGGCCTCAGGGTTCCTCAGCGGTGGCCCGCTGGTTCCTCCTTTGTGGTCTGTCCTGCTATCCAGCCTTGTAGGCCCTAAGGGGAGAGGGACTTCTATCAGGTGACATTGTTGACTGAGCCTTGCTCTTGCCCCAAGAAGGACACGTGTCTGTTTCATGAAACCCGAGTTTCACCACCATGTTCCAGGGTCCTGCCATCTGACCAGCCAGCTTTTGTCTGTCTGTCTCTTCCCTCAGAAGGTACACTACATCTTACCCTCGTTTCTTCCTTCAGGTGCATATGAGCTTGCTCCCCTCTGCCCCCTCAGCTAGCCCTGCCCACCAGGAAACAGTCTGTGTATTTCTGCTAAGGGCTTTGGGGGAAGAGAAGCTGGCCCTGATCTGGGCAGGGAAGGGTAGGGACTCAAGTTTAATGATTGGCACACTTAAACCAGGCCGTAAGAGTCCCAGGAGGAGCCAGAGCCCACTCAGGCCTCCTGCAGCTGCCAGCTGCCTTCAGATTCCCAGGGGAAGTGGCGCTGAGCGGGTTGTTATGGAGACAGGTAGTCTGTGTCGGGCACCATCTGGCACTGTTTTCCGCTCTGAGGCTAAAAGGTTGAGGGAGATGTTGTTTGCTTGGCATAATTTGGTGTACTCTAGCCCTGCAGGTCTTACCCTGGGGGCCTCACAGTAGTCTGATGCTGAAATTGATGCCCGGGATGGTATAGGGCACAGCAGCCCAGAGAAATACTGTGTTCAGTCAGTGGTCACTGGAGTCTGGACCCCACCTCCCCTCTCCCTTACCTTTGAGCTATTCTTCCACAGAATAAAGGAAAAGAAAGATAATTGGTTCTGCCTAGCCTGCTCCTCAATGCCCAGGTGGGATGGTTCCTTCAGAGGCAGCAGCCTACAAGCGCTAGCCTGGGCTTGGGGTCAGAACATGGCACTGCCCTTCTCCATCTCAAGCTGTGTTATCCAAGGCAAGTCACATGACTCAACAACCCCTTGAGCCTCAGTCTCCTTCCTGGTAAAGTAGCACATGGCCCATTCTCTGAGCCCTGCCCTGGGTCGGAACACAAAGGTAAATGGCGCACAGCCCCTGCCTGCCCAAGGGACAGCACTTTTCCACTCTAGCTCCCGGGGTCTTTGGAGGACCAGGGAATGTTAGCCGGGGGGCTGGGATTGGACAGATGTGCAGGTACAGGAAGATACCTCTAATCTTGGGGAAGCCCTGCACCCCGTGAGACTGGAATAAGGCAGAGAGGAGGACGCACAGGAGAGCTGAAGACTAGTTTTCTTTCCGAACTCTGGGTAAATAAAGGCACCACCAGCTCCATGATGTGGTTCTCGGCTAGCCCTGCTGCTGTACCAGATGGCTTCAGGCTAGCCTGGAGTAGAGGCTGAATTCAGAGCCGTGAATCCCAAGCATCCTGTTGTCTCTCCAGACACTTCCGTTCTTTTGTAGGAGCTTCTGTACCAAAGGCTGTTGGAGGCTAGGCTTCCTCCTCTGTCCTCCCCGCTGGGGGAGGAGTCCGAAACCATCAGTTCTCTTTGTTTCTGTTTCATTTCCAGTGTTGGGAACCGAACCTGCGCATCTAGGCAACTGTTCTACCCCTGAGCCACATCCCAGTCTTAGCTTGTTTTTTTTTTTTTTTTTTTTTTGGGTTTTTCGAGACAGGGTTTCTCTGTGTAGCTTTGCGCCTTTCCTGGAGCTCACTTGGTAGCCCAGGCTGGCCTCGAACTCACAGAGATCCGCCTGCCTCTGCCTCCCGAGTGCTGGGATTAAAGGCGTGCGCCACCAACGCCCGGCTGTTTTTTTGTTTTTTTAAGAGATTTATTTTTATTATTTTTAATGTGTCTGTATATGTGTAAGTCCCCATGTAGGGACACAGGAGTGCACATGCCCACAGAGTCCAGAAGAGGGTGTTGGACCCTCTAGAGATGGAGTTATGGACAGTTGTTAGCCACCTAACCTGGGTGCTATGAGCTGAACTTGGGTCTTCTACAAAAGCAGTGTGTGCTGTTACCCACTGAGACATCAGTCCAGACATACATATGTGTGTGTGTGTGTGTGTGTGTGTGTGTGTGTGTGTTATGTATATATATGTTATGTAATTTGAGGCCAGCCTATGTGCTGTTGCACTACAAACCTACAAACCTGGAACTTGCTATGTAGACCAGGCTGACCTTAAACTCACAGATATCACCTCTTTCTGCCTCCCACATGCCACCATACCCAGCTATACCATGTATTTTAACCAAATTCACCCTCTCTTCTACCTAATTCCTCCCAGATCCCACCCACACCCACTCCCAACTTCATGTCCTCTTTGGTTTTTTTAAATAATCTACCAAGTCCAATGTGTGCTGCCCCTGTACTCGTGGGTGTGGAGGGCCATCCACTGTAGCCTGGTCAACCCACCAAGGATCATGTCCTTAAAGAAAGCTGACTCCCTTTTCCAGGAGACACCAACTGTCAGTAGCTCCTCAGCTGGGGGTGGGAGCTTGGGAGACCCTCTCACTCCATGCCGGAATGCTGACTGGCTTGATCTTGTGCAGACAGCCACAGCTTCTGTGAGTTCCTGAGTGTCCTATCATGTCCCAGAAGACAACACTGCTTTGCCCCTGCACAAGATCAAGCCATAAATGACATGTCCATATCACACCCCAGCGTTGGCAACTTTGAGACAGGGTCTTCTATAGTACAGGCGGGCCTCAAACTCGTGATCCTCCTGTCTCTGCCTCCCCGGCACAAGAACTGTAGATGTGTGCCACTCTGCTGGTCTCTCGGCTTCCCAAGCCTCTTTGGTTGGTACTCAGCAGAGCTCCTTGGCTTCAAGTGTGGAAAATAGAGCTCATCGGCGTCCTCAGGGGGACTGAGTCACAGCAGAACATCCCAGTTGACTAAAACAGCCATCTCCAGGGAAACATGTTAAGTTGAGAATCACTGAAACTGTCGAGGCTAGAAAATTGAAAATCCTAGTGTTCATACACGGCTCCTTACTTCAGAGCCAGGGTACTTCCCGGTGGGAACATCTGCTCGCCCTACAGGGACAGGTTGTGTAGAGTCCATGGTGATTTTCACCGATCTAGATCTCTGTCAGAGAGTTCCACTGACACGTGGTTCTCACAAATTACGTGAGCAGTGACATTTGTAAATGTATCCATTTCCCCCCCCCCTCCCCGGGGTCTTTGCCAGAGGATCCTGCTGTCAGGTGGGTGAGTCTGAGCCCTATTTGAAGAACTCACGAGGGCACCTCTCAACCTCCTCAGAGCCAGAGGATCTGCCAGGAGGAGGGTAAAGAGGACAGGCCAGGGGACACGGATGCTTGGTACAGGGCAAGCCATTTCCAGAGGACGAGGGGGTTGTCTCCGTGTGAGCGAAAGGCTGCGATGTGGCTCAGCATCCCTGAGCTGCTTCCTGCTGGGGACTTCATCAGCCCTGCTCACTCCCAGCTCGCATCTCTTTTGCAGCAGGGATGCATTGTGGCACACTGGCTCCCTGCCCACCATGCTGTTCAGTCTCCAGCCAGGTACAGTCAGCCTTGGTGGGAACGCTCGCCATCCCTGGCTCCAATCAACCCCTTGCTGGGAGCTGGCTAGGAGCTTTAGCCCGCTCACCAATGCCTCTGGGAGCTAGGCACAGCCTCAGCTTCACGTCTGTCCTTCCAGCTCTCTGTACTGCAGTGGCTGAAATGCCCTTTGGAGCCCAGAAGCAGTGTCCGAGGGGTGTAGCCCACGTGCTTAGTGCGTGGGAGACCAAGTTCAATGCCCAACACCGCCAACAAGCAAATAAACCCAGCGGTGACTGAACCTGCTTTGCAGACCTATACCGGCTCTCGCTGACACGAGACCTTAGGAAAGTCACGGTTCCCCATGCACAATCACCTGCTAAGTGGAGGGACTTAGGGCTGACCTCCACTCTCCCTGAGGGCAGGCTGTGCGCTACTCTGATCGTACAGATGAACTTCGTGGCATTACCTGATTTTTTTCCCACGTGAGGGGCTTTTACAGCGTAGGTATCATTCGCTGCTTTATTTGCCAGACATTTTCTACTTCCTCAAGGGAAAGCAGAACAGAATTTGAAATTCCTCGGGGCCAGGGCTGCTCGGGACAGAACTTGAACAATGATCAGAACGGCTGCCATTGATGGCTGGCTTGCTGAGAGCCAGGTGCCCATGATGCATTGCTGCAGATGGTCATGTATGCTGAAGCACACTCCCCGTAGCCCTGAGAGACCTCACGTTCTGAAAAGTGGCACACTAAAAATAACCGGACATGTGGGTGGCGCGGAACTGGGGCTGACTGCTCCAAAGTTGTGCAACCTGCTGGGGACGCTGTGCTAAATGAATGAAATCAGCCAGCTCCCCAAGGGCAGACTTCGGGGGCTGGGGGCTGGGGGGCCGCTCAGTGGAAGAGCATTGCGTGTGCAAAGCCCTGGGTTCTAGCATCAGAAGAAACAAATACAAGGACAGAGACTGTCTTTGTGACCTTACTTATCTGAGGTTCTTGGTGTAGACTGCATAGGGACAGGAAATAGAGAGGATGGGTTCCACCTTCTGGGCATGCGGGAAGCTGGGAGTAGAATTCTTCACCCTGGCTAGCTGCTGGGAACTTGAGCCTGGGTGGGGGAGGGGTGGTGGTGGCCAAACAGTGAGTGGCCAATGCCACTCAGCTGGACTCAGTCGTGCTTAAGATGAGCCTGGCATGATGGTGCAGTCCCACAGAAGGAGGCAGAGGCAGGAGTAAGTTCAAGGCCAACCTGGTCTACATATTGATACTTTGTTGGGGAAGGGGGAGGGTTTGAGATGATGATACAGGGCTGGTGAGATGGCTCAGCAGGTGAGGGATGCATGTGCCAAGCTGACGACCTGAGCTGGATCCGTGGATCCGTGGGTCCCACGCAGTGGAAGGAGAGAACTGGCGCCCTCGAGTGGTCCTCTCAACTCCACATGCATACTGTGGTGGACACACACACACAAATTCATAAATGAGTTTGAAAATGGGGATAGCCAGACATGGCAATGCATGCCTTCAACCCCAGCAAGCCATATGAGGTTCTTGTTACTTTTTTAGGTGGAGCTACAACAAAATTAGGGAAGTCAGAGAGGTAGCTGCCTTCATCCACCAAGCCCCACGTATATGGCACGTACGTTGGAGAAGATTCATACATATTACTCCAGATGGCCCTGGCAGGTCCTCATGAGGACCCAAAGGGAAGGCAAAATTATTGCCACCCTTTGTGTGTGTGTGTGTGGAAGGGGGGTTGATACAGGGTTTCTCTGTGTAGCCCTGGCTGTTCTGGAACTCATTGTGTAGACCAAGCTGGCCTTGAACTCACAGAGATCTGTCTGCTGGGATTAAAGACGTGTGCCACCACTGCCCAGCTATCTTCATTTTTAAAAATAATTATTTTGAGACAGAGTCTCACCATGTAGCCCTGATTGGCCTGGAACTTGCTTTGTAGACCAGGCTGGCCCCAAATTCACAGAGATCTCTCTGCATCCGCCTCCTCAGTGCTGGCTTCAGCTGCCCCAGCCTTCAAAGGAGGTCTCTTTTTTTATTTTAATTTTATTTTTATTCATATGTATGTGTGTTTTGTTAGGTATGTGCATGTGTGTGTGGATACCTGCAGATGCCAAAGGAAAGTGTTGGATCTCCTGGGACCCGAGTTACAGGTGGTTGTGAGCCTCCTACATGGGTGCTGGGAACCAAACAGGCTTGGTTCTGGCAGACCAGAGCAATAGCACTATTAAACACCAGGTCGCTTTGCCAGCCCCTCAGATGGGGTCTTGTCGCCTGGCTCCTTAGACTGCCTTAGACAGAAACTGGCCAGCCAGCCCTGGCTCTGCCCTGGCACACAGCATCCTACTCTGCCCTTAGTCAGGACACAATGATGCCTTCTTCTGAGGAATGGCCTAGAGACCTGGGCTGAGGGGGATGTGGCCCGGCCACACTCATACTGCCCTCTTCCTTTGCAGACCTTGGCACCTGCCATCAACTGGTTGCCCTTTCTCAACACCATCTTTTACCCGGTGGAGATCAATGAGTCTGAGCCCATCGTGGTCTATGACAAGGAGTACCTGGGACAAGTCTCCACCCTCATCAACAACACCGATAAATGGTAAGGGTGACGCACTGGGACTAAGGGGACAAGATTGTCTGGGACGGCTCCTCGGCTGGCCGCCCTGCCCTCCGGCGTGATGAGGACTCAGAAAAGGGGCCCCAAGTGGGCTTCTGTGGGAAGTTCCTGGTTATGACTTCGGGTTCGAATCCCAGCTCCTCCTCTCACAGCTTTGTAGCTTCGGGTCAAGTTTCATCTTTCCCCCATCCCTCTCCTACCTGTATAGTCGGGCTGTGGAGAGGTAGGAGAACTAGGGGAAGGTAGTGCTGACAAGTACTTCAACCCAGTAAATGCTAGGTACTAGTTTCAGTTACTACTCAGTGACACTTTTTAGATTGTAACGACAGACATGTGGGAAGATAGAGGGGAGAAGAGGAGTTCCCAGGACGTATGTCTGAGTGTTCGTGTGTGCACATGGAGAAAGAGAGGTTTCCTGATAGATGGTATTCCTCCATCCTCGGGACCGGATGCTTCTCCCATGGCCTTTATCATCCTCCCTCACAACACCCCAACTCTGCAAATGTTTTCCTGGCTACAAAGGATTCCATCATAAACATACGTTTGTCAGGTGTTTAGGTTCAACAGACATCTTTGTGCTGAGGTGACTTCTTTACAAGCATGGCAAGTTTCCCATACCCTGGAGATGGGTCAGAAGGAGCTGCCAATCATGGAACCTTGAGTCTAGCTGGCCATGGGTCTCCTCCTTCTAACTGGGATGAAGTAATCAAGTAATGGCGTTTATTGAGTACCAGCAGTATACAAGTGATGGCATTAGACACCAGGGGTTCTCTGTGGTTGGAAGAGCTAGGCTTTACCTTGAAGAGCTTATGTCTCCTGTGCTTAGAGGGTGGTAAGCAGCCATGCGGACAGGCTGAAGAAGAGCCCAGGTCAGAAACGCTGCCCAGGGTTCTCTGAGCTCTCTCTGGTCCTGTCACCACAGCCTGCTCAACAACTACATGATGTGGAACCTGGTTCGGAAAACAAGCTCCTTCCTGGATCAGCGCTTTCAGGATGCCGATGAGAAGTTCATGGAGGTCATGTACGGGACCAAGAAGGTGAGCACGCTACTGTGCGCACCCATGTGTGGGGCAGAGTCCCAGGGAGACCATGGTTCTGCTGCAGCTGTGGCTGTGGGTCTCGTAAGGGGAGAGAATGAAGAGAGCCACCCAAGCGGGGGCAGCTGCTGTCCCTGGGAGCACAGGAGGGGACCTGAGCCAGCAGGAAGTGGGCAGGAGCGTCTGGAAGGAGGTAAGGATGCTGAGACAAAGAGCGAAGAGGTATCTTAGCAACTAAACTGATTGACAGCAGAGGTAGATACTCTCTCTGGGCTCTTCATTCAGCGCCTTCACTCTAGTGATGGATGGCTGCTTCCCTTGTGTGGTATGTGATCCTCACAAGCCTGGGAGTGGAGGCCACTATTGTCTTTTCTAAGTTTTCTTGTATTTAATTATCATTGTGTGATGTGTGTGTGTGTGTGTGTGTGTGTGTGTGTGTGTGTGTGTGTGTGTGTGTGTGCACAGTGGTGTGTGTGTGGAGGTCAGAGGACAATTGGCAGGAGTCAGTTCTCTCTTTCTACCAGGGGTTCCGAGAGTTGAACTCAGGTCATCAGACTTGAGCAGCAAGCCCTTTTTCCCACTGGGCCATCTCACCTGCCCTCTGTCTTTTCTGGAGACAGTCTTGTGTAGCCCAGGCTGGCGTCAAACTCACTACATAGCTGAGGATGACCTTGAACCTCTCCTCTTCCTGCCTCCTCTCCCATGTGCTGGGGTTACATGCACCAGAGTGTACCCACTTTCCTTCTTTCTTGCTCTAAAAAATGTGTACGGTAAAATCTACCTACAGTGAGATATACAGGGCTGGAGAGATGTCTCAGTGGGTAAAATGTTGGCAATACAAGCGTGAGGACCTGAGTGCAGATTCCCCAGAACCTACATAAAAGCCAAATGCAGTTGTATGCGTCTATAATCCCTGTGCTCCTACAGAGAGATAGTAGCCAGAGACAGGTGGGCCCACTGAGCTGGTGGAATAACAGAGACCCTGCCTTAAAAGCCTTAAAAGGGAAAGAGAAGCCCAGTGCTCGACCCCTGACCTCCACACCCTCACTGTGGCATTAGCATGCCCATACCATACTTACATGTGAATTCACACACAAAATTTTCTTTTGAAAACTTCAAATGACATAGTATGACTTTCGACAGATGAGATCCCTGAGGTGCTACTCCCCACCCCAGTCCAGAGAGGAAATATTCCCAGGACTTTTGACCTAACAGCCTGAGCGGGCAGTGCCTGGTGGGGCATCCACATGTACACTGTGCCAACTTCTTGTTCTTAGTAAACGTGGAGGTCTCGTCCACACAGCTGGGTCCCTGACAGTCTGTTCCTTGCTGGGCCAACTGGCATATTGAGTATGAAAACCCTGTATTTTGGACACATGGTGGTGTCGCACACCTTTAATCCTTGCACTTGTGAGGCAGAGGCAGGAGGATCTCTGTGAGTTCATGGACAGCCTGATCTACAGAGTGAGTTCCAGGACAGCCAGAGCTACACAGAGAAACCCTGTCTCGAAAAACCCAAAAACAAACAAACAAACCCCTCTGTACTTTGATTATCCACACGTTGCTGTGTGAACCCCCACACGTTGACTGTCCATCTGTCTGTGACAGACGTTGCTTTGTGAGCAGCCTGGGGCTGATATGAATCCGGCTTTGTGGCGCGTGAAGACTTGTCACTGCCCACTCTCCAGGGTGGAGAGGGCCCTGCAGCAGCTGTCGGTGTGAGCAGCGCTCCCATGTGTGTGGTCACACCATCCACAAGGACTGCCAGCATGAGTGGAATGAGCCTTCCCAGGGCTTCAGGGAGACTCCAGCGGCAGCCTGCCACCTTGTTTCCAATTTTAAACCGGTCAGGCATCCTGTGATCATGAGGCCTTGAGAAGAGAGCCTTCTGCTGTGCCTGGAGCTGTGTTCTTTCTAGGAGGCTGGAGCAGGGTGGGATCCTGGCCCCCTGAGGAGGCTTTGTACTGTCAAGTAGAAGTTTCTGGTACGCCCTGGGAGGCAAGAGGAGGCCAAGGTGGAGGCCGGCGAGAGACTGACTCCTACACCAACCACATCCCTCACCTGCTCTAAGACCCTGGAGGAGAATTCATCTTGGTTTTCTTTTTCTTTTTCTTTTCTTTTCTTTTTTTTTTCTTTCTTTTTGAGACAGGGTCTCATGTAGCCCAGGCTAGCCTTGAACTCACAGCATACCCCAAAATAGTGACCTTGAACCCCTGGTCCTTCTGCCTCTACTTCTCTAGTCCTAGGATTACAGGTGTGCACCACCATGTCAAACTCTGTGTGTGTGTGTGTGTGTGTGTGTGTGTGTGTGAGAGAGAGAGAGAGACAGGGTCTCACTCTGCAACTCTGGATGGCTTGGAACACACTGTGTGGACCAGGCTGACCTCTAACACACAGAGATTTGTCTGCCTGTCTCCTAAGTGCTAGGATTAAAGGTGTGTGTGTATCCATACCGGGCCCCATATCTAGTTTTATGTAATGCTGGGACCTGAACCCAGGACACCATGCATGCTACACTCTCCAACTGAGCTACATCCCCAGGCCTTTTGGGAGAACCAGGCTGAAGAGAGAGAGAGGTGGTCTTACTCTGTAGCCCAGGCTAGTCTCAGACCTCGAGTCACCAACTCCAGGCTGTCACGCCTATCTTTTTTTTCCTTCAGTCCTGGTGACAGAATCTATAGCCCCGTGCATGCCGGGCGAGAACTCCATCTGCAAGTCCTGTGTCTTCTTGGTTCAGTGCCTAGAGTAGCTCCCACTGGGTCAGAAAAGGTGTCTCTCTGAAGCTCCGGAAGAAAGCACAGGCAACCCCCCACCCCACCCCCACCCCACCCCGGTAGCACCAATCCCCAGATGAGAGGGGCCGGGAGAAAGGGGGCTGAGCCCACTGACAGCCACGTGCGTGTTTTCCAGACCTGCCTCCCCCGCTGGAAGTTTTGCGTGAGTGACACAGAGAACAACCTGGGCTTTGCCCTAGGCCCCATGTTTGTGAAAGCAACCTTTGCTGAAGACAGCAAGAACATAGTAAGTGCCTCCTGTGGGTAGGGGTGCTGGGGTTTGAACCAGTGAGTGCGTGCTAGACAAGCGTTCTCCCGACAGAGCCACACCCCGGCCTCTGTTGCAGGCTTTGTTGCTGATAGTGCCGAGTGCACAGAAAATATGTCAGTCGGCCGTTAACAGAGAGACTCCAGTCGGAGTCACCGGCCCTCCGCCTCAATCCCACCACTCCTGCTGCTGGACAGTGCCACCGCCCTCTAGAATCTTCCACCTGTCTTTGGCCTCCAGGTCTGGCCATGACATAGTTACCTTCCAGGGCTGCATCTCTGGAGTGATTGCAACCTTTTTGAAAGTATCCCTCAGAAGCAAATTCTTTAGATTTCAAAGCTCATTCCATGGGAAATGATTTCTTTGCTCCGGTCAGTGTGGGAGAGGCTACGTAGTCTAGCCTCCTCACTGGTGAAAAGTCCTGCAACAGAAGCTTGTCCCCAAAGCCTACCTCATCTTGGGCCACCTGAGTCCTGTCAGTGGGAGGCAGTCTTGTCTTGCTGGATACTGTCAGGAGAGGACGCGTGGGAAACTTGGCTCCTCTCTGACCCAGCACCAGAGGTTAGCCTTTGGCTGGCAGCATCCTTCTGCACAGGGCTCCTGATACGCTTAGGTGACGTCATAGCCCAGCCCTTACTGGTGTGGCATCTGTCCCGTCAGGCCAGCGAGATAATCTTGGAGATCAAGAAGGCATTTGAGGAGAGCCTGAGTACCCTGAAATGGATGGATGAAGACACCCGGAGATCAGCCAAAGAAAAGGTGAGGCTGCCTGGGAGTTCAGAGGGTACTAGGCTGCCAGTACAGAAGCAGAGCCTTGGGTGGAGGAGGGAGTGGGTGGGACAGGTTCTGTCCAGTGAAGATGTGCATGGACGCCATTGTGCCCTGTGAATCTACCGGAACTCTGGCATCCTGAAGCCCACAATGGCGTGCTATCAGGAGACATCCCATGGCCGGAGGGGGAAGGGCAAGGAGCATGCACACCACAGAGGGGCTAGACCAACCCTTTCATAAGAGCCAGCTCCTGTGATGATGACCCCTCCCTCCTCGATCATTCCTGCAACCGTGGCGGTGGTCATTCATGAGGGCCAAGGAAGGCTTTGTGACCCGATCCCCTCCCTCCCAGCACTGTTCCAAATAGGATTCAGTTACAGTGCGCAGACTCTGGGGGCACACGTCCAAACCGTAATGGCTCTCTTGGGGGAAGTGACATTTCATCAGAATTGACCAGACTCATTCCAGGGAAAGATGTAGAAGCCCTAGGGAGGCGGGAGGCTAGCCCTGGCTCTCCTGGCACAACCCCTGATCCTGGACCCCACAGAGCTGGGGCAGGCTTGGCCAGCATCACTTGGCACTGTCTTACTCGGCCCCTTCTGTCCAGGCGGATGCCATCTACAACATGATAGGCTACCCCAACTTCATCATGGACCCCAAGGAGCTGGACAAAGTGTTCAATGATGTAAGTGGCTTACACCCGCCCCGCAGACTCCCTGATGCCCACGTGAGAAAAGGCCAGGGTTGGTCTGATCTAGGTGGTGGAGATAACATGCTTATCAGCCTGCATCAAAGCGACCTGGGGTGGGGTTTGGGGATATGGGCGTGAGGACGGTTTGCCCTGTTCCTTTGTGTCCTGGGTCAGTGGGGGTTCCTGTGTCCCTGGAGCCACCATCAGCCATTGCCCAGTGATTATTGCCAGAACACAAGCTGTGTGCCCCACTGGAAATGGCCAGCTCCAGGGAGTGAGTGGGAAATCATAGGAGAATGGCTAGGGCAGGGTGGCTCCGTGGTAGAGCATGTACTTAGAGTGTGTGAGACCATGGGTTCCATCCTCATCACCACAAAACAGAAAAAAAGAATGGGGGAATAACCAGACACGGCAAGACATGTCTCTAATCCTAGCTCTCCAAAAGCTGCGGCGGGACGAGCAGGGGTTCAAGGCCATCTTTGGCTACCTAGCAAGTTCAAGGCCAGCCTGGACTATGGGGTAGACTCTAACTTAAACAAAGAAATCAAAAGAGTAAGGGAGGTGCTGGAGAGCTGGCTCAGTGGTTAAGAGCACACACTGCTCTTGCAGAGGGCCTGGGTTGGCTTCTCAGCATCCATATTGGGCAGCTTGTAACTGCCTGCTCCAGGGGATCTGACTCCTTCTTGCCTCCATGGTCATCCACACACACACAAGTGTATACACACACACATACACACATACACACACATAAATTTTAGAATTATCACTCTGAAGAAATGAAGGAAGAAAGCAGATCTTCAAAGGCACAGTGAGAATCAGTGAACAAAGTGAGTCCTCACTCCTGCTGCTGCTCCAAACATCCTCCTGCCCCTGGGTCCTCTCTTCCTTCCTCCCACAATGATTAGACGTTTGGCTTTGACCTTGAAATGCTAACAGAAAGAGAAAGCGTACACCCCAAAGGTGGTTTGAAACTTAGTGTAGGCAGCGAGGGGTAATGGCCATCCCTGCCGCTTATAGCTTCCAGCCAATCAGCTGCCTTGAGCGGACCGTGGTTCCGACCCACGTGATTAGGCCTTTCGTGCCGTCATGATTGAGAGTTGTCGGTTGGGGCCCTGTTGAAATCACAGTAGCCCCACTTCGGGGCTGTATTTAAAACCCGAATCTATTAAAGTTATCTCTGAGGCTGTGAGACTGTCTGCAGCCTGACTCCTTGAGACTCATTTAAAGTGCTCCTGGGTATCAGGATGTCAGAGCCAAGGACTCCTGGAGACCACCAGGTACTGCCCCGGCACTCCTCAACTGTTTCGGGTAGCTAGAAAGATCTAGAATGTACCTAAGCAAGAACTCTGCATTTGTCTGGGTCAGATAACCCAGGCTGCATCTTGAGGGATGTGTGAGGGTCCAGCTGGGTGTTGAGGGGTTTATGAGGGTGTGTGCCCTCCCACTTCTGAGGCATTAGGTCTGTATTGTCCACAGGGACCTATTTCATTAAATTTTTATTTTACTTACTGACAGGGTCTTATGTAATCCAGGCTAGCCTTGAACTCTGTGTGGCCAAGGTTAACCTTGAACTTCTGATCCTCCCGCCTCCACCTCCCCTCCCAAGTGCTGGGATCATAAGCATTCACCACCATGTCCAGCTTATGAGTGCTGGGGATTGGACGCCCCCCCCCCCCAGGGCTTCATGTGTGCTAGACAAGAGCTCTGCCGTCTGAGCTACACCCCCGGCCCAGTTAAAGTAAAATATCAACGCCACACAAGCACATTTAACATGCCTCATAGCTGGTGTTTGCCATATTGGCTACGGCAGGCATAGGATATGGTATGTCTGTCGGTGCTGGGCATGGACTTCTTGCTGAAGTCCCAAATGCTGCAATAGGACATTTCACAGCACCATGACGCTCTGGGACACCCCTGGGTGGTGCTTTTAGTGTCTTTGAAGAGGAAGGTCAAGGCCAAGGGAGACGCTGAGCCTATAGCCCTGAGCCTTCCTCCGTTCCAGCCTCTGGCCGGTAGACTAGTCGCTTGGCTTTGTGGGGTTCCCTTGGTTCCCAGCCTGAGCGTGCTCTGATCGTTGATTCTGCTTTGCCTCCCCAGTACACAGCAGTTCCTGATCTCTACTTTGAGAATGCCATGCGCTTTTTCAACTTCTCATGGAGGGTCACAGCCGACCAGCTCAGGAAAGCCCCCAACAGAGATCAGTGAGTTCCTCAAGGTGTGGGCTCCTTGCACACAGGGAGACCCAGAGTGACCTGGGGTGGGGGCAGCATGGCTTCCACACTTGCTTGCCAGATACAGCCGTTGTGAGCACGGTATGAGGAATGGAGACAGAAGGCCACAATGGGTCCTGGCTGGGGGCCGGAGCGTCAGCATCATACCCAGCACCTGGCCTGCTGGCCCAGTGGGCGATGCTCTGTAGCTGAGGAGAACTGGCTTCCTGTCCCAGCTCTGCTGACTCAGCGGCTTTCAGAGCTTGCTTCTCGTTCTTGGCCGTGGGAAGGAAAAAAAAAATCTCACTCTTGGGTCCCGCTGACGATGAAATGTTAGAACTCCCGGGGAGGGGCAGGCCCCACAGGTGGTCCTCAGGTCCTCGGGAACAAAAGTGGTGGCTTCAACCCACAGGGGCCTGAAGAAGGTTCTGGATGGGCCCCAAAGGCTGTCACTGTTGAACTGTGCTCCCCTTTGCCTCTGGCGCCCTCTTGTGGACAAGAGGTTCAGAAATCTGTTTCCTCTACGTCTTCAACGGTAAAAGCACAGCACGGGCATGGCCGCCAATCCACCTGATCTTAAATTTAACTTCATCTTTCACATCAGTTTTGTTATCCGCCCATGAACATATCGGTGGTTATTTGGATATAGATGTGATGTAGTAAATTTCTTGATATCTTCACATGGTTTAATGACACCCAGCGAAATACCTCCGTGGTGCTCACTGGGAAAAAACAGAGTGACTGGGCTCATGTGGCAAATGTCCTTCCTCTTTTTCCATTCCTCATTGGCTCTCCCCTCTGCACCAGGAAAACACTGAAATGCCAGCTATTTGGTTCACTTTATATGGTTAGTGATATACAGTTTTTGGTCTTCGGACCCTTCCATATGCTTAAAACATTACTGCCCCATCCTGAGATCGGCAGGTGTAGCTCTGGTGATGGAATGCTTGCCTAGCATTCTTGACCCTTAGCACCTCATTAAAAAAAAAAAAAAAAAAAAAAACAGGGGTGATGTGCACACCTGCAGTTTCAGAACTGAGGTGCTGGAGGCAGGAGGACCAAGAGCTTAAGGCCGCCCCCTGCTACATAATAAATTCTAATCCAGCCTTGAATACATGAAACACAGTCTTAAAAAAACGGGTACTCAAGAAGCTCTTAAAACATGCATTCTTTTGGTTTTATGAAAAGTTTGTAAAATGACTATTTTCTGAAATATTTTATGTGCAGGGCATGGTAAGCATACGCCTTTAATCCAAATCTTCAGGAAACAGAGTCAGGCAAATCTCTATATGAATTTGAGACTAGCCTGGTAGAGTTTCAGGCCAGCTAGGGCTACATAGTGAGACCCTGTCTCTCTCTAATGAGAACAGGAGAGATTAGATAGCTCAGCAATTAAGAACACATCCTATAGCCAGATGTGGTGGCATATGCCTTTAATCCAAGCACTTAGGAGGGAGAGGCCAGCCTGGTCTGCAAAGAGAGTTCCAGGACAGCCAGGGCTACAAAGAGAAACCTTGTCTCAAAAAACAAAAACAAGGGCTGGAGAGATGGCTTAGTGGTTAAGAGCACTGCCTGCTCTTCCAGGGTCCTGAGTTCAACTCCCAGCAACCACATGGTGGCTCACAACCATCTGTAATGAGATCTGGTGCCCTCTTCTGGCCTGCAGTCATACATGCTGTATACATAACAAATAAATAAATAAATCTTTAAAAAAAAAAAAACAGACAAAAACATATCCTGCTTTTCTAGGCAACCCAAATATAGTTCTTAGCACCTCTGGCCTCCATGAACACCTGCACATATCCACAGACAGGCAGATATATACACACATAAATAAAATACATCTTTTACATTTATTTAATTACATATATAAATGTTTTGCCTGCTTGTCTGTTTATGTACCATGTGCAAGCCTGGTGCCCAGAGGTCAGAAAAGGAGGTCAGATCCTCTGGAACTGGGGTCTCAGATAGCCATGAGTCACCATATGGTGATGAGAACCAAACCCGGTCCTCTTTGATAACAAGTGCTCTTAACTGACGAGCCCTCTCTTTAGCCCCTAAAGTACAAATCTTTTATAAGGTGTGTGTGTGTGTGTGTGTGTGTGTGTGTGTGTGTGTGTTAAAAACAGAAGTGTTGCACATTTCTTTTCAGGACACATTGTAGGGGTAGAATCGGGGCTTTCTCCTACCACTGAGCTGTACCCCAGGCTCTCCAGATTTCTTTCATTCTGGCTTAACAGAAGGCAGCTGGAGTCCCATGTCTGCCTCTGCATTCAACTGTTACAACACGTTGTTTTGAAGTAGAGATAGAAAAGCCTCACACAGACATATGGTTAGGAAAGGAGGAAGATTTCCTTTTATTATTGGTTTTGTTTTGTTTTTTGGATTTTTGAGACAGGGTCTCATAGCCGTGGCTGTCCTGGAACTCACTATGTAGATAGATCAGGCTGGCTTCACACTCACAGAGATCCACCTGCCTCTCCCTCCCAAATGCTGGTATTAAAAGCATGCACGGGCTGCAGAGATGGCTCAGCGGTTAGGAGCACTGGCTGCTCTTCCAGAGGTCCTGAGTTCAATTCCCAGCAACCACATGGTGGCTCACAACCATCTGTAATGAGATCTGGCACCCTCTTCTGGCCTACAGTCATACATACTGTATAATAAATAAATAAATAAATAAATAAATAAATAAATAAATAAATAAATAAATAAATAAATAAATAAATATTTAAAAAAAAAAAAGCATGCACTACCATGCCCAGCAGGCAGGGGTAAGATTTGAATAGTCTTTTCCAGGGAACTGGAGAGATGGCTCGGCATTAAGAGCACCGGCTGCTCTTCCAGAGGTTCTCTTCCAGGAGCTTTGCCAAAGATCTCACGTGTGCTTGTGGCTTGCAGGTGGAGTATGACCCCACCCATGGTGAATGCTTACTACTCACCCACCAAGAACGAGATTGTCTTTCCCGCTGGAATCCTGCAGGCGCCATTCTATACCCGCTCTTCGCCCAAGTAGGTCATGTCCGGTGCTCTTTCCCCAACCATTCCCCAACCTCAGCAGCCGCCAGTCCAGTCTTGCCCAGCCCTCGTAGCTGGCTACTTAGCCAGCCAGCCTCCTTGAGCCATTGGTGCCCGGAGGGCCCAGATGCCTGGAATTGGGAGATAGAGACAGTGGACGAAACAGCTTCTGTGACCCAGGCCCTTCCCTCCTGGCCTCTCTTGGTTCTGGATTGTCCCTGCATAGTGGAGCTTGGATGAGCATGTCACAGAGTCAGGACCTCTCTGGACGGCGTCTTAAAACACAGCTGGAGGTCAGACATCATGCCTGTGTCTCATGCAGGCAGGCTTTGAAAGCCACAGTCCTGGATTTGGATCCCAGGCTGGATCTTAACTGTGTGACGCTTAGGCAGACAGGCTGACCTGGCCCCGGCCTCAGTCCATTCATGAGTATTAAGACCCAGCACTCCTGAAGTGATTTGCGCATGCACAGCCCCAGAGGGCATAGTCAGCTATGGCTAGCTCTGCCCAGCCTCCTGCTACCTCCAGGGGCCACGTTCCCAGAAAGCCCTGCGGGTCTCTACCATGCCTTGGGATCTGAGGTCACGTAGCCAGGCTTCACTCTCTCACCTGTGCGTTCCTCCTCCAGCGCCTTGAACTTCGGTGGCATTGGTGTCGTGGTGGGCCATGAGCTGACTCATGCTTTCGACGATCAAGGTACACGTTGCCTGGGGCTCCCACTCAGGCAGAACTGGCCAGCTTCCTACCCACCCTGTCTGTTTCCTGGTCCCTTCCCTTCTAAGGATCTTAGTACAGAAGGATCAGTGTTCAAAGCTTGGCTCTGCTGCCTTCGGTATGAGCTTCTTCAGCCAGTCCCATCACATGTCCACGCCTCTCTTCTCTCTGCTGTGAACATGAAGATTCCATGTAGTGGTAGGAAGGTCTGTGGTTACTGTGAAGTCCCTGCTCATGGAGAGTGCTCATACTTAGAGGTCGGCAATAGTATTCGGCAGGGAGTGCACAGTTCTCTACCATTCTAGAAACTTCTCTGGTCTGACCATAGTCAGAGAAATGGCAGTCCAGCCCTCATCATTAGCTAATAGCCAGACTCCCACTTATTACCTCCTGCCTTGGGGACCCCATAGCCCAGAAGGAAAAGCTGGGGCCTGCCTGTGATCCTGGCACTGCCAGCCCTGTCTAGGAATCTATTCCTTGGGGTTAGGGGCCCTTAGCCAGTATTGAAAGCTAGCCCTTGAACTTACCATCAGTGGCCTGGACCGTTTTCCTGCTTGGTCTCTGGTATGACTGGCCAAACCTCCACCACATAGGTTGATCACTCCCATCCGCGTGGGCCTAGAGGGTGGCAGAGGAGAGGCAGCGGGTCCCACTGTGTGACCGACCACACTCCTCCTGCACAGGTCGGGAGTACGACAAGGATGGGAACCTCCGGCCCTGGTGGAAGAACTCGTCTGTGGAGGCATTCAAGCAGCAGACCGAGTGCATGGTTCAGCAGTACAGCAACTACAGTGTGAACGGGGAGCCCGTGAACGGGCGGCACACCCTCGGGGAGAACATCGCCGACAACGGGGGACTCAAGGCGGCCTACCGGGTATGTCTGCTCCGTCCGCCCGGGCACTGTCCTGGGGCTGCGGCCGTCTGAGTGTCTCATCCACAGAGGCTCATGTCAGCGGGCCCACGGGCCTTGGTGTGCTGCCTGGATAAATGGGGTGGAGTGGCTGAGTGCTGACCGAGAAAGCCGCGAGCCTCAGAGCTCAGGCCTTCGAAGGCTTCCTGCTGGAAACCCGCCTTCCTGAGACACAGGGCAGGCCCAGGCCCACTGCACAGCCTGGCCATTCTTTCCACTGCTACCTCAGACCGGAGGGGCCTGCGTGGGAGAGGGACTGGACTGGTTACGTCTCTCCTTGTGATAAAGCATCTGACCACTCAGGGAACAAAGGATTTGTTCTGGTTTGCCACGGGGGACAGTCTGCCATGGTGGGAAGGTGTGGCGGGAGTAAGCATCAGCCACATTGCCTCTGCAGTCAGGATTTAGACAGTAAACAGGAAGTGAGCTGAGCTCTAAAGCCTGGAAGCCCACCCCCTAGTGACCCACTTCCTCCAGTGAGATGCCACCTCCTAAAGGTCCTCAGCGGTCCCAACAGCACCTCCATCTGGTAGCCAGGTGTTCAAACACGTGAGCCTATGGGGGACATTTTCCATTCAGATCACACCGGGGACACTGAGAGGGTTCTGGGTTCAAGTCCCAGGGCTGGCCTAATTGACCCGAGTCGCGTCTCTGAGAACTCCTAGCACCTGCACCAGGTGGCTGGCTGTTAGGAAAGTGCAGCCAGGGGGCTTGGACCCACTCCTGAAGAGAAGAGAGAACTGACCCAAACCAACTGGCATCTGGCAGAGGGCAGTACAGGGGTTCTCCCCAGCTGTGACGTAGAGTAAACATGGAGAAAAGCACTGTTTCCTGGGGCTGTTCTGTGAGCAGGCTTGGGGTCCCCAGCAAGTTCAAGACTTGGTGTTAGCATCCCAGCTCGGGTTTGCAGACTCGGGAACTGAGTGCGGAAGTATTTCACAGTTGGCCTGGCATCCGTCTGCCAGCAGGCGCGTATTGAGAGCTTTCTGTCCGCCACCTGTGCTGTGCTTGAAGCGCCGCAGGGTGCCGCTGGCAGGTGGGAGCTGCTCCTGCCCAGCCTGCGACGTGATGGGCACAGAAGGGAGAGGCTGTGTGCCATTGACTGTACAAAGAGCATTAACTGGGGCCGGTCAGGGATGGTGGGGTCCACGGCCGGCCTTCTAGAAGGCGTGACATTGGATTTATGGCCGCCCGGCTTCTGTGGCTCCATGTTAACTCTGAGCCGTTGAGTGGGTACAGCAGGGACTCTGCCCACAAAAGCTGTGACAGGAGGACTCTCCCAGCTGTCCCAGAACTCAGCCACGACCACCTGGGAAGGGTCACTGACACCTCGGCTTGGGGAAGAGGTTTGTTCTGGATCAGCTTGAGTTAGAGTACTTGGTATACACCCGTATGTATGGGGAGGCGGGGGTGGAACGAGCTAACATCCCATTTGTGCCGTGTTGAGTTTGAGATGCATCTTGGGTATCCGGCCGGTACGTCAGAAAGAGGCTGCAGTGGAAGGCATACATTTGGCAGCTGGTGTGAGTGTGTGTTTAGGCCATAGGGTTGAACTCATTCCCTTTTGAATGAGAACACAGAAGGAAGCCGACGCCCAGGCACCCACCTCTGCCCCAGTTGGTGGGGCTCCCCCTGAGCTTCCACAAGTGGCCCATCCTCACCTGTGTCCTGTCTCAGCTCAGCTTTTCTCTCCTCCCAGGCTTACCAGAACTGGGTGAAGAAGAACGGAGCTGAGCAGACACTGCCCACCCTGGGTCTCACCAACAACCAGCTCTTCTTCCTAGGATTTGCACAGGTAAGCTCGCCAGGAGGAAAGGTTGGTGTGTCCCACCGTGGGAATGTACAAGAGCTCCAGAGCCAAAGACTCCAGGGCCAGAGGCAGGTTCCCCTCAAATGGCGCCTTCCTAAATCAGCAGACTGTCTTCGCGACATTGCCGTATACGGAGGCGGAGGCGAGGGGCAAGGAAGGACAGAAGTCCACCTGGAGGTCCTCCTGGCCCGCTGGGAGCTCAGGCTCATTCTGTTGATGTCATAGTGGGACCAATCGAGCCGCTTCAGGGCCCCAGGGTGACCCCAGATTCCCTTTATTACCCCCTTCCAAGGTCTGGTGCTCCGTCCGCACTCCTGAGAGCTCCCATGAAGGCCTCATCACCGACCCGCACAGCCCCTCCCGCTTCCGGGTCATCGGCTCCGTCTCTAACTCCAAGGAGTTCTCAGAACACTTTCGCTGCCCTCCTGGCTCCCCGATGAACCCTCATCACAAATGCGAAGTCTGGTAAAGGGCTGCAGGACACACGTGGAAGAGGGGGCGGGGCCTGCTGCCAGCTCCTGGGCGGGGCTGCGCTGTGACCCTCCTTCCAGCCTCCAGGCCGCCGCCCAGCCCCTCAGCTGCCTAGGGCCCCTTCCCCACCCTGGAGGGTATGCAGCCAGCTTGTCTAAGCCTATGATGGACCCAAGATCTGACCCCCATGAAGCCCTGGCATCCCAGACACCCACGTGTGATGCTAGAGGGCGTTTGTGTGTCGAGCTGGTGGGCCTCACTGACAATGGCCATGGGACACAGCCCCTCGCCCACATATAATGCCAGTTATACCACAGTACCACTGTGTCAAATGCTTTAAAGATATATTTTTGGGGAGACTATTTTTTAAGCATTATGGAATACACTGGAAATCTTCAGGGAAAAAAAAACCGCATTTAAAACACTTTTTTTTAAAGGAAAGATTAGTATATTTATTATGTTCTCTTTTTCTAAATAACCTGTGGACAAAGGAAGCCCCACTGATTTACCCCAGGGGACCCCAGGCTTCTGAGCAAGCCCCCACACTGAGCACTGCTTTAGCCCATCGTTGGCGTGATGGTTCCTGCAGTCAGGAGATGGAGAGGTCAGCCGAGGGGCCAGGCCTCTGGACGTGACCCTTCTCAGCTCACCTGCCCTGTCTCTGGAATCCAACCATGGGAACCCCAGCAAGGATGGGCTGATACCCAAATGCTAGCTGCAGCAGTGCAAGGCCAGACTAGGGCCCTCCCGTGGGGGCACCTGAGCAGTCTGGGCTAGACCATAGGAGCCCCTCAGGGCGGAGGCCCCACCCCATAAGATGCTCACTGTTCTCCAAAGATGTCTTTCTTTTGGTCCCGCCTCTTCTGGCCTTGGAGACCTGTTGCCTCTCTGTAGCAATTCCGACATCCCGAGGTGGTCTGCCTCGCTGACCCTTGGCACCATGGTAAAGGAAAAGTAGTCCAGTTCTCTCTCCAAGCTCCGTAGCCAGAGTTGCCCTGGCCTGGTTCCCAGGACCTCTTCTCTAGTGCCTTCCCCAAGGCTGTGGCCCCTCAGCTCCACCGAGGAGGCAGCCCCCGCCTGAAGCCCTTGGCTTTCCCCATGGAGTCCTCAAATGTCCTGACTAGAAGCCAACACCGTAACCGCTCTCCCAGGACCCCCAGGGTTACTGTCCCAGCCTGCCTACAGATGTCCAGTGTGGGGAGCTGTTGACCTCTCTCAGGCTTCCAACTTCCTGTGTGTGGCACAGGAATCAAACCAGTTCTTAGAGGTGGAGGGTCCCCTGTCATGGGGGTGGAGGGCTGTGAGCCAGAGGAGGCTGAGAACGGTAGGTCCCCAGCCCCATCTGGGCTACAGGAAGTCATCCACCTAGCAGCATCACCCAATAGGAGATGTATGTATGGGTTCCCACTAGGTGGTGCTTATTGTTAGATCTCATGGTTGCTGTAGGGAGGCAAGCCCCTGTGACCTGTGAGCAGGGAGCCCCTTAGTGCCACCACCCAGCAGGCCACGCCCCCACATTGCACAGTAACCCCCCTCCCCCATACCATAATCCTCCTTGGCCAAGAAGCCCAGAAATGTAGTCTCGGCCCTGCCCAGTTCAGGGTTGGCCTTAGCACTGGGGCAGGGAGCTGCAAGCTGGCCCCTGATGGAGTTCCTGGTCCCTGTAAGCGCGTCCACAGTCTCATAGCTCCTCGGGGAAAGGCCACACAGGAAGCAGGAAGGTGTTGGAGCCATGCCCTGCTACAACATAGAGATGGACCTTCTGGGCCTGCATCCTCGGCTCCCTTTAGTCCTCCCCTCCCTGCAGTCCTGCCTCCCCATGGAGAGGCAGTCCTGGAAAGATTCCAACACCGTGTCTAAAAGCCAGGGTCCCGAGCTGGGGTTCAGCAATACAGCCATTGCTCAGGGTGAGCGGGGCGGCCATAGCAGGAAGGCCCGGGCTGAGCAGGGACGGATGGATGCAAAAACAGCCACCTGCCCCCACCCCGCCCCCATCCCTCCAGACATATGGGAGAGGCAGGAGGAGAAGGGCAGCTGCTCTCGGAGAGACCCCCTCCTCTCAAGCCTGGGCGCTTCCCTGCGGGTACAAGGACATGGGGTTTGGAGCTGGGGAACCTATTTTTTGTATTATTATGTTTCGTGCTACTGTAGTTTTGGTGTGGCACTATTGTAATTAAAATAAAGTACTTGTACCAAGCGCCATGGGTCTGAGCGTTCATCCTTCTTGGGGTGATGTGTGCCCTGTGGGACCATGAGAGGGACCCTGGTCAGCACAAAGCTGCCCACCCTTGCAGAAATCTCAGGTTACTGCTTCCTGTCCTACATGGCCACTCCTTCAAGGAGGGGCTCGTGTGAGTACCCCTTGCTAGTGAGAATTATGCCCTCCCCCTCCCCTCATAACACACACACATACACACACACACACACACACACACACACACACACACACGTATACATACACGCATGCACATACACTGTAAAAGTCATGTTTCTGTTGTCTTAGAGCAAAGGACTTTGCAGTCTCAGATATTTGGGTAGCATAGGGATTTTCAAAGAGGTTCAAGAAAGAGCCAGCAGTTTTATTTTATGTTTTGTTTTATTTTTAAGGTTTATTTATTTATTATGTATACACTGTTCTGCCTGAATGTGTGCCTGCTGGCCAGAAGAGGGCGCCAGATCTCACTACAGATGGTTGTGAGCCACCATGTGGTTGCTGGGAATTGAACTCAGGACTCTGAAAGAGCAGCCAGTGCTCTCGACTGCTGAGTCATCTCTCCAGCCCCTAGCCAGCAGTTTTATATACATCTCTGTCTACGATGGTCTTCCTCAGCTTCTCTGCCTCATAAACTCCTTCCCAGCCTCCAAGGCTCCACACAATAGCGACTCCTCCAGGAAGCCCTTCCTCACCTAGTCCACACAGGCTTCTCTTTCCACAAACTCACTGCTTAACATGACAGAACTTCATTCTCTCATAGTTCCGGAGGCTCAAAGGCCAAGATCAAGGTGTTGACAGGGTTGGTTCCTCTGCTGTGTGTCAGGAAGAATGTTTCGGGCCTCTCCTGGCTCCTGATGACGTCACACACACACGGGACAGAGGTGGCACTGGCTGCTGCCCACCCCTGCCCCAAGAAGGGGACACATGACATCTCCTGTCAGATTCCCACTGTCCCCCCAGGCCCAGCCTGCAGTTATCAGTGCTTTTGTTGTTGTTGTTGTTGTTGTTGTTGTTGTTGTTGTTGTTGTTGTTGTTTTGAGACAGGGTTTCTCTATAGCTTTAGCTGTCCTGGAACTCACTCTGTAGCCCAGGCTGGCCTCAAACTCACAGAGATTCCCCTGCTTCTGCCTCCTGAGTGCTGGGATTAAAGGCGAGCGCCACCACTGCCCAACACATCAGTACTCTTAACAGATCCCTTTCCCAACAACCAAGAGAACAGATGGCCTCTGGGTCCCCACATCTCTTCTCTTCCTCCCTCTTTGTAAAGAATCCATCCCTGCCACCATCAGCATGCCCCCCTCACATAGGGCTTAAGCTTCCTGCCTCTTCGGGGGTTTCCCCTTCCAGCTGAGGACTGTGAGACAACAGAGGTGTGTCCTCAGAATAACTGGGAAATGTCAGCGATCTGAAGTCATTAACTGTGAGCCAGAGAGCCAGCAGGGGGTGCTGTGCGCGGAGGGAGTAGAGAAGCCTTCCAGTGCTCACAGGCTCCAGCACAGCAATGGGTGTAAGGACAAATGACTTCATGGAGAACTGTACTGTTTCACTGGAGGGGAGAATAAGCGCAGAGGCAAACCTGGCCATGCACGGAAAGGTCCAGACCGTAAGTGACTCAGATGCCCCCTCAAGCTGATCTGCAGTTCCAGCACACTCACAACCAAAATCCCGACTGAATTATCTGTGAGAGAACGTGTATGTGGGTGGGCATGGTGCTGGGTGAGAGCTTCGGGGCTGGTGGGCATTACAGCCAAGAGGATACATTGTCATAGCCAGCCGGTGGTGGTGCATGCCTTTAATCCAGGCACTCTGAGGCAGAGCCAGGTGGATCTCTGTGAGTTCGAGGCCAGCCTGGTCTACAGAGCGAGATCCAGGACAGGCACCAACTACACAGAGAAACCCTGTCTCACAACAACAAAAAATGGTCATTGTAACAGGCTTTCTCTTGGGCTACCAACCGGCTCCCAAATCATGACATGGCGGCTTTTTTTTTTTTTTTTTTATTGCAGGGTTGTTTATTTATTTTATGTTCATTGGTGTTCCAGACAGTTCTGAGCTGCCATGTGGGTGCTGGGAATTGAACCTGGGTCCTCTGGAAGAGCAGTCAGTGCTTAACCACTGAGCCATCTCTCTAGCCCCTGACATGGAGACTTATTATGAATACTTGGCCTTAGTGTATGCTCATTTCTTGCTAGCTCTTATAACTTAAACTAACCTGTTTCTCTTCATCTATGTTTTGCCTCGAGGCTTTTTACCTTTCTTTCATTCTGTATGTCCTGCTTTCCTGCTTCACTGGCTGGCCCCGAGTGTCTCCCTCTCTCTTCGTTCTCTCTTCTCAAGCCTAGATCCCTCCTACTTATTCTCTCTGCCAGCCAGCCCCGCCTATCCCTCTACTGCCTGACTATTGGCCATTCAGTTTTTTATCAAACCAATCAGGTGCCTTAGGCAGGCAAGGTAAAACAGCAGCACATCTTTACATAGTTAAACAAATGCAGCATAAACAAATGTATACACCTTTACACAATTAAAGTAATATTCTGCAACATGTCATCTTTTTTTTTCTTTCTTGATTTTGTGGGGAGGGCTTGAGATAGGGTCTCTCTGTGAGCCCTAACTGTCCTGGAACTCACTCTGTAGACCAGGCTGGCCTCAAACTCAGACATCCACCTGCCTCTGCCTCCCCAGTGCTGGGATTAAAGGTGTGCACCACCGCTGCCCGGCTGATACATTGTCATCTTAAACAGAATTTGTTAAGCTGATTGATGTTGATGAGAAATGCACAGCGGTACCCAAGACTGATTATTTAAGACAGAATTTCATGTAGCCCAGGCTGGCCGTGAACTTGCTATGTAGCTGAGGATGACCTATCTTAAACTTCTGATCCTTCGGCCTTCACCTCCTAAGTGTGGAGATTACAGGTGTGCACCACCACACCTCATCTATGGGGATGGAACCCTGGGGCCTCATGGTGAACATGTCCACTGACCCTCCCAGGTGAGCATGCCATGTAATGACCTAAGGTAGAGGTAAGTACATCACGTCTGCAGCAGTAGTATCAAGTAAGGGAGGATGTGGAATTTGATCAAGCAGTGAATCCCTATCTGGGAGAGCAGGTACACATGGTGCACAGATACACGCAGGCACTCACACATACCCACAACTTAAAAGTCTTAAACAAAAATAAGACCAAATGTAGTGGTATAGGCATCCTAAGCAGGTTATAGGGGTTTTGTTTTCAGGCAGGATTTCATATACCCGTGGCTGGCCTGGAACTAGGTATATAGACCAGGCTGGCCTCAAGCCACAGAGATCCATCTGCCTCTGCCTCCTAGGCACAGAGACTAAAGGTGTGTGCCACCACATCTGACCCAGCTTTGGAAGGTTTTTCACAGCTGTTCCTGGAGCTGTATGAAGACTGGAGTGGACGTGTAGAGGGCACGCAGTCAGGGATCATAGAAAGGGGTGTGTGTGACACACCCAGGGTAGCAAGGAGCCTGTGTCTGGACTCTACCCACCATTTCCATTTCTTTCCGAAACACCAGGGCAAAACCCTGCTTCTCCAGAGGGCATGCGCTGGTTCTGCTTTCTTGCTGTAGTGATAATATATGACCACCAGGTGGCGACAAAACACAAAGGACTCAGGCCTGGGTCCACATCCTGGTGATTGATCTTCTGGCTGCAGGACCCACCCCGACTTGTTAGGCTTTAGAAGGCAGGGCAGACCCTTAAGGTAACCCTGGTCAGGGATCCTGAACACGTGAGTGCTAGTCCCTCCCCCACAGCTTCCTGACTTGGGCACGTTACTTTGCATCTCTGAATCCTAATAGTAACAAGAACAGAAATTATAACCCAGGCCCAGGCTCATTTTAGAGACGGGCTGGCCAATACGGAGACTCAGAACTCAGTGTTTCAGACTTGAGTTAAATCTCCACCCCAAACCCTAATGAACTATAACCTGGTTGACATTAGAGTCACCTGAGAAGAAGGAACTTCAGTTGAGGAATTGCCTCCATCAAATTGGCCTGTGGGCAATTGCGCGGGGAGGGGGGAAATTTTCTTAATTGCTAACTGATGCTGCCCACTGTGGGTGGTGCCACCCCTAGGCAGGGGGCTGGGCTATATAAGTAGTGGAGCAAGCCAGGTGTCTTAGTCACTGTTCTGTTGCTGTGAAGAGACGCCGTGACCAAGGCAACTCTTTGTTTGTTGTTGTTTGAGACAGGGTTTCTCTGTGTAGCCTTGTCTGTCCTGGAACTCACTCTGTAGACCAGGCTGGCCTCAAACTCACAGAGATCCACCTGCCTCTGCCTCACAAGTACTGGGATCAAAGGCACGCACCACCACCGCCCGGTTCAAGGCAACCCTTATACAAGAAAGCATTTAAGTGGGGGGTTGCCGACAGTTTCAGAGGGTGAGCCTATGATCGTCATGGCGGGGAACATGAAGGCACCCATGGTGCCAGGGCAGTAGCTGAGAGCTTTACATCCTCATCTGCAGGCAGGCAGGTCAAGAGCCACTGGAGCTGGCATGGGCTTTGAGGTTTCAAAGTGACACACCTCCTCCAAGGACACACCCACTCCTACGAGGCCACGCCTACTTCTACAAGGCCACGCCTCCTAGTCCTTCCCGTTAACTAGGGAGTAAGCATGCAAACTCATGAGCCTTTTGGGGGGCGTTCTCATTCAGACCTCCACACCAGGGGAACATGCCCGTAAACAGCACTCCGAGGAGGTCTCTGCTTCAGTTCCTGCCCCCCAGACGCCTGTGCCGGCTCCTGGAAATGAAGGTACCTGGAAGTATAAGATGAAATAAACTCTTTCCTCCCCAGGTTGATTTTGGTCAGTGTTTTATCACAGCTACAGAAAGCAATCGAGGACACGAGGGACTGTCACCTTTCTGAGTTGCAATTTCTGTCCCTGATAAACTCCATCGTGCCTGTCACATGGCTGCCATTTGAAATGAGATCGTTCCTGAGTAATCGGCGCAGA